AAAGATCAAATAGTGAGAATGCTTTGTCACAGCATGAAAATAACAAGAGTTTGATTCCATCTTAATCAATTCTCAAGCATGCCATTCCAGGTTGATTCAATGTCAGGTCCAGTTTTTGACTTAAATGGGTTAAGCCAACAAGTTAAGGTCTTTACCTTCCCCTCCTGTGGCATAGATCAGCATGCCACCACATGCTGTAAAGAACCCTCAAAAGTAATATTTGCACTTTGTATTAGCATTCAGCCATATAAGTCTTGGCCTACTCAAGTAAAACATACTGAACTTGGCACAATTGAAACTGCTAGGCATGGACCATCTTCAAGCATCACCTAACACATCAAACCTACCAGTTAAGCAAAAGAGGTAAGCTCTTGCGCTATAACTTAATACAAACTGTCATTCTTAGGGGATTAGTCATCCCACTTAAATTTTACAACACCTAAATCACTTTGAATGGTTTAATAATATCTAACCTCTGAAGACTAAGGTTTGAACTCCACAAGACTAAGCAGCAACTAGTGCTATCAGTATCAAGCAGATGCAAAAGGAATCCATATAATTGCTGCACCACTTCCAAATACATTTTTTTACTGAACTTTCATCATTTCTATGCATCACTACATTAGATAGATATTTGATACAGCACCCTCCAACAAGTAAAATTACTCCACCTGCAAACTAGTGCATGTAACTTATACAGGTTATCGTTATACCTAATGCAATTTCTTGGTGCCAGATGTCTTGATGAACCATTGCAAGTATAAATAGAGACTATCCTTACATAAAGAAAATATCTAGATGCAATAAGCTGTCATGATCAGAAGTACTAAAAAACAATATACAGTTACCTCATAATTTTGCAGGTGTATGTCAGAGGCATAAGCCAGTCGCAGCTTGAACATCTGTAGCCTATAAGGTTGATCACTTGCAGTACGAACAGGTACTGAACAACAAGCACACTACATGAAAACTATCTGATGGCATAAAAACAATAACATTAAAAAAATAAAAAATACTTTCCCACCATTAATTTTGTTGAACACAGAGAATGGAAGAAGCAACTCGATAAAATTTAGTCCATTCTTTTGGCAAGCATCTTCAACAAGCGGAGTTGAAAGGACCATAATCACTGGAGTGATCTCTTCCTGTAGCAGTCTCCCCAAATAAGATCTTAAAGGATCCATTTTATATTCCGAAGGTAGTACGATTAATCTTCTTCCACAAGAAGCTTCTGGAAATTTGTGGTCTCGGGAGGAGGACACCACGTCAGATCAAATTTCTTAACCGGCAGGCTTCCATCACCACAGAAGTATGAAATAGAAAAGCGTCAGGCGGTGCATAATCACAAAACTGTTCAATTGTTAAAAGCATAAAGAATGTGAATTTCCAAGTCTTGAAAGAATATCCATGTGCATAAGAAGATACTTGAAAACTTAGAAAAACATATCATGCATTCTAGCAACTTTTAGTGACGTTTGTGTAACAATAACATAGCCAGACATTCTATCTTGTCTTGCAACAGTATTATAATTTCATAAAGCATTGCAATAACAAGTAATGTTTACAAAAAAAAAATGCAAATTGATCATCAAAGCCGGCACCCAGGTTTCCTGGTGGTTGAGCATCCTCAAGTTCCCAAAGACTCTGCCTCATCATCTACTGCTACTTTCTAAGTGAAGAATAGAGCAAGCTAAGAGAAGTCAGTCATAGACATTCACAAGTATCTACAGCTTAGAATTAAGGGTCACCATAAAGCTACTACTGCAATTACTGAAAGTAGTTATTTTAAATAAGACTACCACTGGTTATCGAGTAAATTTTCTCACAACCCCCAAGTAAATGCATGACGATCGCACAGACATGTTCCTTTAGCATACATGACCAGAGGACAATTAGCAACCAGAAAATGCTATTTACAGCCAATATTCTGAAACCAATATCCAAGAAAACTTGGCTGATATTAATGAAGCTAGTAATACTACAGAAGAAGGAATAATGGCTCTACAACAAGTAATCAAGTAATGTTTTCTCACAGACCCACAAAATGCATAAAGATCGGGACAATGCAAAATTTTCTCACACAGCCCCCAGAAACGCAAAGCGATTATGCGTTAGCACAAGATGTATTCCTTTAGCGGAAACTATCTCAGAGCAATTAACAACCAGAGGATGCAATTTTCAGCCGGGATCCAAGAAAATTGGATAACGTCATTAGGAAACTAGTAATACTCCAAAAGAGACTATTGGTTCTAGAACAAGTAATCGATCTCACGAACCCCTAACTTACAAAGATTGCACCGATGCATTCCTCTAGAACATACCCATAACCTCGCCAGGCACTCGATGAATTAAAACTCCGAAGAACCCTCATCAAAGAACGATTAACAACCGGAGAATGTCACATTCAGTTCCAACCGAGACCAAGATCCAAGAAAGTTAGCAACTACACCAAAGAGAAACAACAATCCCTAGCAGAACCGAACTCTAAGCAATCAAAAGCGCGCGATCGAACGGGAAAACAATCAAGATCAAGAAAGAAAGACCTAAAAGAGATTATATTAGGAAGGGCGTAAAAGAAGAAGAAGAAGAAGAATAGACTAGGGTTTGAGGAATCGGACCTGGAGGCTGGGATCGCGGCCGCGGCCGCCGACGTCGTCGATCCTCCGGAACTCGAGATGCGCCCCAGCGAATGGAAGGCAAGACGGGAGTTCGAGACAACACATATGAGCGACGGCTCGAAGACGGTGTTTAACGGATCCGGAGAAAGCCGGAGGTCCGATCCGATCTGGAGGCCGCACAGAGACAACCTGACCCGAGTGAGCCCGTTTACGGCCCTTCCATGCACGTGGATCATAGATACAGCCCAAATCGAGTTCGACCCACGTCGACACCGCAGTCCTGCTTCGGTTGTGGTGGCCAAGATACGCTGCCTCTTTGTCTCACGACCGGTGGGCCCCCACTCCTTGACGCCCAATAAATTGTTGGGTTGTTTTACCCGCACATCATCTTTCGGGACGGTGATGCCTGAAGGCGAGCGAGGTATGAGTTTGGGATTCCAAGTCCGTCGGATCTATTAAAAACGATCTCAACCGTTCATTTTTTGCCTCGCCAGCGTCTCCTGTCACGGCGGTCGGGTCATTGCTTTAGATCTCGTGCACGGTTGATGATGGACGGAGACCGATTGGACGGTGATCAATGTCGGCCCATCATTGCAATTGTCTGACAATGGTTAGAGATGTATCATGACATATTATTGTATCTCAAAAATGTGTTATTTGAAGGACAAAATGATCTCAAGGATCCAAAGGTCCATCATAAGTTAATTTTAAAGGACAAAATGTATTATTTGAAGCAATTGGATAGTTGATTTAAAGGGAGATTCAGAGATTTAAAGGAAGACTACTTAGATTTGGATATAAGATCATTGGCCAATGACACAAATAGATGAGAAAGATCAATGTGCATCTTGGTTTAGGATTTACATAGTAGATTTTAAATATTGTATTTGTCTTCAAATACTAAATTTATGATGACTATTTGTGATTTGAGAATTTACAAACATCCCAAGCTAGTAATCACTTTCGAAAAATAAATAAAAGTTAAAAATACTAGTTTTGAAGGTAAAATCTCAATGAGCTAAACTAGTCGTTGACCTCAAAAAAAGAATTATAGATTCAGATTTTAAATACGTTAGTCATATACAGTACAATTGGACTATTTATTTTGAATATTATTATCAAATAAGAAAACCCTTATAAACATGTAGGATTTCCATGTATTTTCTATTTTTCTTTGATATTCTTCATACTTCTTACTTCAGTTTCATTTATTAGTTTGAAAAGGAAAATGTTGTATAAATGAATCTATACACTATATGAAATAATTTAATACTCAGTCTTTATTCCATGGCAAAATTTGAGCCCTTGCTGATCCATTATTTGAGTAGTAGAATATACATGCAATACTAAATAGAAAAAGCATAATTAAGACTTGTATCTGTGTCTCACTCTAATTATACTTATTTTTATGCATATATAATGGGAACTAAAAGTATAGACAATGCTCATGGATCTTAAAATACCTTTTCCTCTAATTTATGGAAATAAAAATATGTTTAAAGATAATTTGTTCATATACAACATAAAACTTACTTGGGTCGTTTTATAATATTTGTTCCTAAGAAACAAAAGAGTTTTCAAACATATATCCCTACAAAATTTGAAAATCATATATTTTCTATTATATATTTCAATATCCTTCAAAACAATAACATGTTAAACACATTCCATGCCATTAATATATATCCAATATGGACTTAGAAAACCTATATACATACATACATACATACATACATTCATGTGTATATATATATAATCAGTTAATCAAAAAGGTATTTGAAATATATTAAACATACAAAAATACCCCTATTATCTTTTATATCATATTATATTTTTAAATTATACAAATAAAATTTAAAAATTAAACTAACAATCAATTTTTATATCATATTATATTTTTGTATCAATTTTTATTTCAGTTTACATTATCAATTAGTTTTATATCATATTATATTTTTATATCAATTTATTATTTAAATTTAAAGAATAAATAGGAAAATAATCAGCTCTACAGGGATATATAGGTAAATTTGCCTAAACACAAGCCGCAAAAAATTGGCGCCACAATCCATTGTGGTAATTTTACAACATAAAAGAAGGAGGATCTTCTTCGTTGCTGCATGTATACAGTTCTATGAAGACCCCATGTAAACCCTCCATATCTTCTATTCTCAAATCTGGCCCATCTATGCTATGAGTGGCGAATGCTCTTGGCGTATGACGCGCACATCATCGCACGGTGAGATATGAGGGGAGGTGAGATGGAAGGTTATGATGCGGGAATTGCAAGGAGAAGAATATACGCATGACTTGGATAGAATCCCATTCATGCTGAGCAAAGATGTATATATATACGAATGCCGGTGGAGAGGACACGAGAAGCTTATCTCGTTTCCTCTCGCCTCCTCATCTTTGCTATGTGTGAGAGCAGCGGCGAGATCGGCGGGAGTGGTGAGTCTCCTTCTTTCGATCTCGATCTATCGATTCGTTCCTCTTTCATCTTATCTCGTATTTTTCGTTGATATCATCTATTTCTAATTGCAGGGGATGTTCTCTGGTTCACGATCGATGGTCGCAGATGGCGGAAGCTAGGGTTTGTTTTTCTTTCTTTATATATGTCTTCTTTTGATATCTTATGTCCGTGCGTTTCATTTCGCCTTGGCGATGATTTGCAATCGTGAACCCTTTGCTACGATGAAGATTTGGAAGCGTCGGCAAGTGTTAATGTGGGTTTGGGTCTCGGCAATGTTGATTTTAGAATCATGATGCCAGGATTCGTGCTTAGGGTTCATATGTGGATAGTGAATCCTTACCATTATCTTCATGCACGAACTGTTAGATTCGTTAGTAGAATGATGATAATTTGAAGCCTCAAGAAGAATGTTGCAACAGGTTGTTAAAAGATTGAACAATCCCAAGTAGAAGGGCGTTCTTTCTGCTTTGGTCATGATCGAAGAAGTATGATAAAATGGTGACTTCATTACCAAGTTCTGCTGGCATTTTGTGTGATAGCTACCCAAAGGTTTTTGTTGTTCTTAGGCTAATGGTTTAAATTTTCATGCGAGAAGCCTCCAAGGATGGTAAATATATCTATCGATGCCATGATATATTTTTCGCTGATGTAGGATTAGTTAGTTTTGACATCGCTCGGAGGATCATGAGATAGCAGGATTTTTAGGTTCTTTATGGTCTGTCAGCACAAATTAGCTTCTCAAGTCACAAATAGGATTAGTGAATGAGCAGTTAGAACTTGAAGAAACTTTAAATGGAAATCTTAACATACCATTGAGTAGTAATCATGATATAGTGTTGATGGTTAGGAGCTTTACTTGTTTGTCTTTGATTTCCTGAGAAGAAAAAATATGTTACAAGAACTGCTACATTGTGGACTACAGTTTTCACAATACATGAATAAAATCGGATAGAATGAAATTTTATGGACAATTTAGCTTGCTCCTTTATATGCTTAAAGGGCGGTTCTAATTTGATCAGCTTAGAAATTCTTGAGTAGTCTCTTCCATACTTATCTCTTTTTCATTATGATTTTAAGATGCAAAATTGGTAGTTTTTCTTTGATTGTAGTTGACTCAATTTATTCCGTTCTATTTCTTGTCAGAGCATTTTGAGATCATAATAGTCTATTTGAGGAGACTAGAATCCTTTTATTGGCTTATCTTGTATGCATTTACTTTTGCTTCATTTCATCCAATGTTGTCTTTCTTTTGTATGTTAAATATTTAGGAAAGTTCGCATGAATCCTGTTACTTGAGTTGAGAATTGTCATAGACCTTCCGGATTAGGAAGCTGTGGCTTGTGAAATCAATTTTGTCAGATCGATCACACTGGTAAGCAAGGAAATATAATGATATTGCTGTCATTCGTGGCAGATGCTGCATATTTCTGAGATAGAAACCTAAAGCACTAAGGTAGGGAGATTAGTATTTGTTAAACTTCCAAATAAATACCATAGATGGTACACTAATTCAAAAATGAAAACAAGTTTGAACATGTAGTTAATGAATTGTTCTATTTCTACAAAAATTACAAGTGGAGCCACCTACAGGAGCACTTCCAAACATGTCATGACCAAGTATAATAAAATGTTTTATCACATGAAAACACTTATAAAATGCGTTTCATTCAGAAAAAAGAATATTTGTCTGTTAATTGATTGATTTGTTAACCTTACTTATTGCACCAGGTGGATATTGCACACCATATGTTCCCAGAGGGGAGAGTACCCTGGCAAGTGGAATTCTACCTGAAAGCTCTAACCATACAAGTAGCCGTAAGCTCATTGTAAGTACCTTTGACTGCCCAATCTGTCTCATTTTTATTTGTCCTTCAGGTATAGCATTTACCATGCTAGTGCTTGCTCATTTCTCATTGCTATATTTTGATCTTTTAAAACGTATTCTCAGTTTACTTCCTTATATTACAAGTCCTATTTCCACTGTAGCAGAATGGTTCTATTTTTGCTCTATATCTGTGTATTTCTAGGGTCAATAGGCTATTTGTTTTAATATTAGGCAGGGTTTTTAATACCATTCCGTATTATCCGATATAGGTAGTATGTGTTGGTATATCATTTGATCGGCACATGGACCACTCGCTACTGAGCGGTATCAAGTATTTGGTTGCGACGAGACGAGGCGAAGAAGAAGAGGGAGAAGCATCAAGAAAGAGGATTGTAGAGTCATTGATGCGCCATCACTAGCATCTTGATGAACTTAAGCTCGTCGAACTTTGACGCAAACTTATCTTCTACGCCCTTTCTCGATCCTAATTCGATGTCGCCCTCCCTTGATGATCATGATCCAAGAGGTAATGGCGAGGAGAGCCATACCTCTTTGGAGGAGCTAGAGGTGCGGGGATCGGGGGAGGCAACGGTGAAACTAGCGAAAGAGGTAGCGAAGATCCCGACCTTCTTCATCACCGAACGGTCTCTCTCGTCCATTATCATCGTACGAAGAACCTTTCGATGTCGTCTTTCTTCTTCCCACCTCCTTGACATCGAAGGCCGTAGTCAAGGTGACGAGGAGAAGAAGGACGAGGCGATGACGACGAGGCTAAAATTAATTTATATATTTTTTTTTCTAGGTATACCACTTAGTATCCCGTACCGTACCATATCAAGCAAGGCTCAGTATATTATGAAATTAAAAACCTTTTTATCTCCGGTTGCAAGTTTAGTTTCCTATACCAAACGTCCAAAAAATCAAGGCAGGTGGGTAGGATGATAAGCAATTTTTGCATGATAAATTGTCCTACTCATGGAAGCATCCAATGCTCCATGTACAACACGATATGCTGCTTCTCGCTGAGCACGTGTCCAATGGTAAGACAATGTGACCGGGGTATAAACGAACCAAGTGCCGGTGGAGACTAGTTTTTGTGGTCTGCTCAGGTGTGGGGAGGAACTGGATTACCTGTTGTTGGGTTATATGCTTTTGTCTAACTCGAACTACAGATTCGCATCTCCTTGAGCAACTTGGAGGTCTCGGAACATATAAATTTAACTAGGATGAGGCGGAGAAGATTATAACAGCACATTGACATCGAGGATGGTGACGCTGGGGATAATGGGCAATAGTGGAGGAGATGAAAGAGTAGAACTTGCAAGAAAGCTTTTGAGAGATGGGGGTCTCTGGTTAAGATTTGAATGCCAATCCTATTTATATGAGGGTTTGACTAACTAATACTTGAGTTTTTAGTAAATGTTCTAATTTTCCTAGAAATATTGTTTGATATAGAGTTTTAGTAGCGAATAAAAAAATGCTTGTAACCTATCCCACTCTTATGTAGTCTAGACATTTGTTGTAGCAATCGTACCAAAAGTCTAATTGTATCAGCGCATCCAAAGGTCACAAGATGTAGTGTTCACGTTAAATCGTACCCACGACCTCTTGGTGTTCGGGTGGTTAGCCATTCTAATCCAGTTGGATTGTTTGAGTTCGGCTTGTACGCTTTCGGAACACGAAACAGGTGATATCTGTGATTACACCTACTCGTTACTCGATCGAGATCAGTTTTCAATTAAATATACAAATCCTTATCAAGCCAACAGTAACGAGACGTTTTGACATGTTGGAGATTTTCTGAGAATCAACTTAAAGGCTCACAGGCTTGGAGTGTTGGGCTGTGTCGGCCACGTTTACAATAGTGGTGCAAAAACACCAATTATCCTGGTGATGGTCCAAACCACTTATCGACCTCTGTTTACAAACAACTGGTCATCGCACCTCATCAATCCCACGTTTCGGTCGGCCTCCTGTTGATAAAAAAGCGTGGGTATCGCCCCTCATCCACCTTACTTTTTCCTTTTTTTCTTAAGCCTTCACGGTGATTTCCACTAGCAAAATATTGGTAGTTGTCAGATGCCAACATGTCAGCCTCTTTGATCGGTGGCCATGTCTCCACAAATTGGTAGATTTTCCTGTAGGATGATCCTTGGCGGCCAACAATGCTTCACTCGGTAACAAGGTCAGTTGTATTTTTATCTTTTCCTTCTTCAACTCCCTTGCATCTTTATATATCTTTTGTTGAGAAAAAAGGAAATGGGATGATGTGACCGCATGTCCATTTCCTAGTGTGATTTAATCGGTGCCTAATGCGCTAATTCCGAGGTTAAGTGCTTGTCCTCGAGCATAGCCTCCATTTAGCCTCCATTCCGGAGCGCAGCTTTATCTTCCAATTGATGAAGGTAGAATAATTCTAGTGATACGTAACGATGGCGCAAAAGAATGCGTGATCGAGGCTGAAGGATTTTTTTTTTTTGAGGGACGAGGACACCCCGCCGCGGGTTGATGCTTTCTTTTTCGTTGGATGTTGCTGTTAACATCATCCCTTTCGTCATAGTCCTCCATGGCTTTCGAGCCCCATTGAAGAATCACATACCTTTATAATCCTTTTCTCTGCTCCTGTGTCATGGAACCACTGTCCTTATATCGTCCTCACGCCTGTCCTAACTTACAGTGGCAGTTGCGGGTTTTTTTTTTCTGAATTTGTCAATCAAAAGCTGCCACGCTGGCTCAGAATCCCCTATTTGTAGGCGAATTGTGATTTCCGTTTCACACTTAGGTCGCATGGGACCCATCTCACTTCGGCCCATGAAGCTATCGTAAGGGGAAGGCGTGTTCCTCTGTGAGCCGTTTATCTGTTGTATGACAGCCCCTCTCTGCGGAGGGGGATGCTTTCACATCGGAAAGTGAAAACTAGCTATTGCAATCGGTGACATTTAACCGTTCACGTTTCTGGTGTTGGTATATATCGTAGATAACTGTGTCAGGAAGATGCGGGGCGAAAAGGCTTATGCTGTTCGACTGTGTTTGCATGGCTAAGATGGTTGCAGAAGCTAAAATGAACGACACGTTCAAATTCGTTTGCTTGGTCGTGTGACAGATGGATCTGCACATGTTCAGCTTATTGATCTGCGCATTCATACTCTCCTGGGAAATGACAGTTGAATACTCATGGACGGGAGGAGGTGTTACCATTGCGATCGGGCTGCTTCTTGAAGCAAGAAGACGTTGCCCCTCCTAGCAAACGAAGGGTCATTTTACTTTATCCTTTTTCTTTCTTTTGCCTTTTATCAGGTTATGAAACTCGAGTAAGAGATGCGTTCTCTTAACAGAGGGACCTCCTCGAGGCCAAGAAGATCGACTGTCGTACGTTGACAGTGCTCTTCTTTTTTATCTCTAGTGTGAAAGACAGCTGATGAACATGCGACTTTGTGACGACAGCTGACGAACATAGGTATGAGGTTGAAATCAGCTGCAACATTTCGGACTTAACACCACCATGCGTGGTGGTCAAGTTCCTGAGAGAGACCAACTGGTTTGCGACTGGCTTGCTACTGCCTTGCTTTCTCGCCTTTTTGATGAGGGGTGCAATCAAATAAAACAAGATCAATTATTAGTTGCTTGAAGTCTCGATGACATCCTAGATTAAATTTTATTTTGATCATCAATCAGGTGGTTTTTGTTTCTTGGATGTTGTTCCCCTTTTAATTTTTTTATTCCCGGGGGTTCCATTCTGCATCACTCAGAATAGAACGACATTTAATTGGTGACACTCGGCTCTCGGGTATGTATCCACATGTCAGTTGCAGTGCTTAGCGCTCAACTGTGCAGTTTCCCACTAACTAATAAATTACTCCGACTGTTGTGCTCAATGGAGGGCCAAAAACCGACGGACGCTTGGGGGTGTCCCTCATTTGGTTTTAACAAAAGTATTAAAACGATGGTTAGTTGATTGCCAGAGACGAAAGGGGTTAGATGTGATGGTTTATTAAGTTGTTTGGATCCACCTCCACCACCGTAAACGGCACCATCTTCCGATCAATTGAAACTTGCTAGGGAACATCAATGTGATCGGTAGACGATGGGCGGTGCTAGGAAACATTAATGTAAAAACACTTCGTTGTTTGGATTAACAGAAGCAAGAAGCAGCAACACTGTGCCGATTAACAGAATGAATTAACAGAAGCAAGCTGTCAACCAGCCAACTCCAGTGTCTGTTTGGATCATGGTTCTGCTTATCCTAGAATGGATTAAGGTTGACAACCTACCTACCTACCATATAAGCGTTTTTATCTTTTTTTATGGCCCCGACAAGCAGAATGAGTAGAAATAGTGAGAGCGGCCACTTCTTGTTTTGTTCCTCCCGTTGGGAAAGCAGGGCACATGCTTCTTAAACTCCAGTCTAAAGCAACTCAAAGGTAGAATTGTAGAAAGAACGCAGCCTGCCGGTTGTTCTGAGACAGATGAGAGTGAATGTGAAAATGATAAGGTAGAAATATATATCCGGTCACTACTTGATCCCATTACTTGAAAAGCGCTTGAGTTCGTTGGAAATTAGAGGGGAGAGAATCATCATGAATTCCTTCTTTTGTGGTGAATATTCTGCGGGCGGATCAGGGCGCGAGCGTGTGCGCGCACAAGCATCTGTGAGCTTTTGTAATTTTATTTATAGAGATGATGGGCGGTGAGGGTTGTGATGCGTCATCTTGTTCGTCACTCGTCCATGATCTCCATCTCTTGTTTTTAATCTTTAACTTCTCTCGTCAGATATACTAAATTAATGAAGAGGATGTAGAAAGCCAATGCAGTTCGCTTCGAGACGCCGCTTCGCGCTGTATCTCGGTGCCAGTATAGTTGGGTCCACTGCTCGGATCAAGTTTTTTTGGTTGGTTAGATCGATGGATGGATTAATAAGTTGGATCATAGATTTAATTAATAGGTTATAAAATAAATCACACTGTTTTTTTTTTTTCCACTTCCCCTTCCTCTTCTTTTGTTCTCATCTCTCCTCAATCTTCTTCATCTTATTATTCTTTCTCCTTATTTTCCTACCCCTCCTTCCTCTCTTCTTTTTTTAATATGATTTATTCCTATCGTTTATTAAAGAATCAATTGGGTTAGTCGGTCCAATCTTGTGTTATCGACGCGTTCAATCTTTTTAATTGGACGCAGTCGGTCACAAGGCCGGTTTCTTGTCGGTCCGATTCGGTTTTAATAATAATGTATACAGCGCGCCCGCTTGGAAAAGGGCGACCAAAGGTGCAAAAAGTTATTTCCTATTCTCGTCCTCTATGTCTCTCTCTTATTTGTTTCCATGTCAATTTCCAACCTCAGAATGGAAAACCGTCGGATCGGTATTTTTCTTCTCCTTCAAGCTTCCGCCTCGCCACTCATTTTTTGCCTTCCTCCAAAATCCAGAGTCTACACTCGGTTCCATTCCTTTGTTTCCGGTCGCAGTCTTCTTCCATTTAACAGTACAAAAAAAAAAAAAAGAGGAGGAAAAAGCTCGTTGTATGAAGTATAAAGGAAATATTGGACTGTTTACAGTAACAATACATAACACGCTCGATGCATAAAGGGCATGGATGTGGTGGGGAGGCAATTGCAGCGTAGCGGTATAATGAAGGAAAAAGACCCTGGAAGGAAGGAATGACAGAGACCGGCTGAGCTCGCACATACGAGCTGCTCTCTCTCTCTCATGCGGCCTTAACTGCCACTAACTGTATAATAAATTTAAAAAAAAAAAAGACAAAAAAAAAAAACAACGCGAACAGAGGAGGGAGACTCCGGGATCCTCTGCATGCAACCCACTGATTTGATCTCGCCCTGCACGTAGCCAAGGATGGGGACGAAGAGGATCCCACTGGTATGATCTCACCGTCTAGATGGTGCTCTCTGTTAGGCCTGTGTCACTAAATCCCTTGAGCTGACGAATGTCCCGTGGAAACCGTAGGGAACACGCGACGGCATCTTCACCGCAGCCTCAAGCTGCATGTCGGCGCCGTTCACGATCAATAGTTCCGACTTTGTTGTCTTCTCGTTGTGCACCAAGGAGAGAACGTAGCCGTCGTCCTCCCCCGATGAATCTGTTTCCTTTGGTAAGAAGTAGGGCTCACCGCCGAACCGGCTGTCGCCGTAGATGAACTTTTTTATCTCTCCGGTGGAGAGGTCGACCTTGGCAAACCCGGAGACCTTGGGCCACGGCTCAGCGATGGCCAGGTAGGCGTACCGGGTCTTCCTCCCCACCATCTTCCGGTTCACCATTCCGGCTTCCAGGTTCAGTTGGTCAGCCGGGGACAGAATGGGATGGTGCGTCGATTTGCCAGACTTGAGGTCGAGTCGGGTCTCAGTGAGGACGCTCTTGAGGCTCTCTTCGCATTCGTTGAATACGGAGTCGGGCGGGGTCATGCAGGAGCCTATCACCACCACCTCCCCCGTGGCAGGCTCCTCCCAAGCGTTCCACAGGTGGAAGCAGAAACAGTCAGGGACGTCGACCCACCGCATCTCGGATGCGTCGGCGGCGTACTTGGGCAGGACGCCAAAGCGAGCGGTCTTCGCCCGGTCGAAGATGACCGGGCTGCCGCCGCGGATCATCTCCTGCAGTTTGAACACCACCTGCTGATCGGGCACCACGACGTAATTATCAGTGATGGCGAAGTCGTGCATCATGGTGGGCTGGTCGAGGGGGATCTCCACGTCGGCAGACTTGTTGCCCTCAGGGGAGAAGTAGAAGTACTTGAGGTAAGGCTTCTTGATGACGTCGTAGCTGAGCGCGAAGAGCTCCCGCGAGACGGGATCCAGCTTCGGGTGCGCAATCATGGAGGAGCGGAGCTCGCCGTGGAAGTCGTAACGCTCCACGGTCTCGAGGTCGCCCGAGGGAGTGATCCGAACGTGGTACGGGATGTCGTCCTCCGACATGGCCAGGAGGCGGTCGTTGAAGTAGATGAGGCCGGCGTTCGCCACTCCGACCCCACGGCTGCCATCGACTAGGCCGCAGAGGCTGCGGGCGTAGAAGAGCAGCAGGCGGGCGATGCCCGAGTGGCCGTGGAGTTCCCCGATCGCCTTGGGAAAGACGGGCTTCCCGATGGCACGCTCCTGCCGGAAGCGCTCGGTCTCCGTGTAGCGGCACGCGTAGGCGGCGGTGCCGTTGCGGAGGTGGACGGCGTGCACCATACCGTCGCCGTCGAACAAGTGGTGCCCTGCGACAGGCTCGAACAGTGGGTTGGCGCCGTTGCGCACATAGACCCCGTCGATGGACGGAGGGATGCGGCCTTGGACGGTGAGGTTGCGGCAGGGCGCCTGCTCGCCCACAGGGGCGAAGTTGCCCGAGATCTGGACGGCAGGATCCGCGGTCTTGGGCAGCGGGTGTGGGCGCTCGAGCACGTTCGATATGAAAGCCTCCTCGATCGTGTCCAGCGCTGCCACAGCGAACCGCTGGAGCAAATTCCAGTTCGGCCCCGTCTTGCTTGCCGGCTTTGTGAAGGTAGCCGTCGCGGCCTCCTCCCGATAAGGTGCCGGACGGCAGGCTGGGCCGGTGCTGGTGGCCAAATCGAGAAGGGAATTGGAGGAAACCGAACAGCGGATTCTTGGGGTGGTGGGGAAGGCCTGCTTGCTTTGTAGCTTGATAGGTTTGGCCACCAACAGCGTGCGAAGCTGGTGGGGGTTGGAGATTGGCGGGTGAGAATTCATGCAACTGGTGGCGGAAGCCATAGTATTCCTCTTCGCAAAGGGAATGGCAGGGCTGCTGCGTTTTCTCTTTCTTTTTCTCTTCTACTCCCTTCAGCTCACTAGAAGCAGGAAGAGCGGAAAGAGGATTGTTTCCGAAAGGAGTCCGCGTGTGGAAAGCAGGGGCAAAAGCCCAATTTATAGCGTCTGGGAAGAAGGGAAGAAGAGGCCTAACGCGAGGAGCTCGACTCCTCGGAGACGCTCACGTGGTGGGTACTAACATTGCGAGCCAATAAGAAATTGATCTACCCGGTCTCACGGTGGTTTCTGTTGGTTTGGGAATCTCCGACAGATGCGCAGCACGTCGTAACCTGGGATTGGTCCTTCTGTAGGTGAGGTGAGGTGACAGGGAAAGCTCAGGTGTGCTGCTGTGTTGGTGTTGAACCCGTCCCTTCCCCTCTCCCGGTTCTCATTCGATCCTATGCTTTCCCTACTTCACACCCAATATTTTTTGTGCAAATATCATCCTAAGTTTATCTGATTTTGTTATCGGGTATGGGAAAGATTTCATATCTGATAAAAATCTGCGGATTTGGCATGACAAATCTTCGTGCGATGTGATTTTTTAAACTCCTGAGGCTTGGGAGTCAAATCGACGTGCGATGATGGCTAATCGGTAGCTTTCTCGATATGGCAACATCACGAATCAAAAGATGAACGTAGACTTGAAATATGATCAGTCTTGCAAAATACGAATGCTATTACGACACTTGGATTGACTGGTAAATGTCGGGACCAATGGAGGGAGAAGGACGATATCCGGTAGAACCTCGACTTCCCAACCTTGCTCTTGTTAGGCGTGGGGGACGCGTCTCAGTGTTTGACGGCACCGCCCACGCAGAGTCTTCAGCGAATCTCCCCTGCCGAACGAAGACTTCTCGTTACCAACCAACCCTTTCCGCGTTCTCCTTCCCCCACTTAAAATTAAGTTAACAAGAAGACATCACGACCTGCAGTCATTAAGCATCCATTAGTACCCGCTCTTACCTATCATATCACGGCCGTCCATGGCAATAGTCGTTCCAAGTGACGATTGATGGGTTCTTTCACCCACCCAGATGTCACATTTCGTGTGCGGACGATGTTAATGCCGTGGGACCATCTCCTGGTCGATCTCTGCACGACATGTTCATGTGCACGTGGGAGAAAAGGAGGGAGGGGTCCACTTGAATCGACTTTCTGGGTTAGGGCAGGTCGGACGCGGAGCCGCCGTCCACGGCCCGGCCGGGGTAGGCGTCGGTCGAGCACATGGCCATGCGCCGGCGGCAGAGACGCAACCCACGTCCTGGCTGCCGTCAACTTATTCCACCCGACCACTTGGAGAACGCGGCGATGCGAGATGGAGGTCTCAACCGGGGAAGGGGCAGACCTTGTTCGGATGCCACCGTCGTCAACGGTGAGCTGCCACCGGCCACAACCACCTCCTCCGTGTTTGCACCATGTTTTAGAATGTCAGGGACGGCCATGTTGTCGTCCGCCGGGAGCTACTCGTGATGGCACATGCCGGAAGAGCAGCTCCCGGCGAATGCTTCCCACCTAAACAAATAATCCATGTTGCCTGACCATCCTATCATTTGAGACACACACCACAGACACTATGATTAGTTCCAGTCCATGTGTGGCAGATGCTTATTATTATTAGTTAGTAGTAGTGACCGGAACTGTGAACCAATGAGGAGGAGCTGATGGGGCTCAATGCAATGCAGGCAAGTTGGATACTGAGATCCCTTGGATCACATGGATCTTATGCTGGTAGTGCCCGTCAATGATTGCGGCTCCCTTCTCGACGTGGGATGGCTGCAAGGTCACTTGCATTCTCCCTCTTGGGTGAACACTTAACCTTGAGAGTTCGCATAGGAGCCTGTGCATCATTGAATGCATCGGTAACTGAAAGGCACAAGACAAAGCATGGTGGCTGGTGTTGAATCAGCACTAGGCTTTCCTTGTGAAGAAGATGGGAGGAGGTAGGGGACAGCCAAAGGAACTGGTCTTGGTAGTGGGTGCTCTTTGAACGACTTCTTCATCTTGCGTAGTGAAATAGTCAAACGTTTTCAACGTGAAAACCCATTTTTCTTTTGTGTGTGTGCAAACCAAAACCTTGTGCTCGAAGTTGCTGTAGCTTTGGTGTCTGGGAGGGAGAGAAAGATATATATATATATATTGGAAAACTTAATCTTCTATAGTGTAAGATCAATTATAATAATCTTTAATTATTCTTACTAAAATATTATTATTTTTTATATCCTCTTATATAAATCTTAAAAGAATTTACATATTTCTTTTACAATCTCTAAACCCTAAAAAGCATCCTCCATACACACCTTAGAAAAAAAACAAACTTTAAGAGCATCAAAAGTATTTCTAGCATTTTGTTCTCTCTCATCGAAATCTAGAATTATATGAGATATTTATAGAAAAATTAATTTTTAATTTTTAAAAATTTTATCTTTCATGAGAACTCATGAACTAAGATTCTTTCTTTATCTTCATAGAACATTAGTTCCGGAAATCCCAAAATGTTTATCAAATTAAGATTTTCTCTATCATTGTTTTTATTTTATTTTATTTTTAGTTTATTTGACTGGAGTCATGATCAGTCTCAATGGCTTCTCCATGTAATCTAATAGACTTTAAGTTGCTCACGCATTCTACATCTCTTCCATGGATCATGAAACTTATAAAGTCTTCCATTTCTTGGACCAATCGAAACAATGATTGGACTGCCCCATCGTTGCATGGTGGTGAGGGGGTCCCATTCCCATCTCCTCCTGCTTCACATTCTTCCACGTGCATGACACTTGCAGCCATGCATGCATCTGATATAACCCGTCAGCATCAGAGATTCAAAGAACCCCAACGTGATGAGACCGTGTTGGTGGTGGTATGGTATCAGAGATCCGAACAACCTTTCTGAGCGATCGGACCGCGTGCAGAGAGAGAGACAAAGGGCACGCCATTTGTGATGTCTCCTCTGTGGATTGCCACTTTCGATTGCCGGAGACGTACACATGCATTGAATGGGGTAAGACTAGTGTTGTGGGTAATGGGGTAGGATGCCTTTCTCGAGCGGAAGCCACCACGGATGAGTGGGTGAGGGAGGTGAGGGAGCGAAGAGGTCTCTTGAGGGTACAACTCAAAGATGGTTCGGCGTGAAGGTGTCGTGAGGGCACTCACGTTGAACCCGAGCTTGTTGGGCTTTCGGAAGTTAAGTCGCCCGATTTGCTTGCACCATTGGTTCTCGGAATAATACCAAGAGAACTTGCATAACATGGCCGGCCATTTTGATTTGGATAACTCTATGGCCTTCAAGATTCAGACAACACTATAACTAGAAGCTTTTTTAGTCTTCTTTTCGCATCAAAGTTAGTTGGTAGCTTTGGGAGGATACCTTTTCGACATACCTCGAATCGGATCAATTGTATGCACAAGTAATACTGATGGTTTATAGATAGATTATCGAGTTAGTTAGCTCAGAGAAATACTGATAGTTAGTTACAACTAAGGTAAGCATGCATAGTTGTATCGATGCAGTTGGTTCTTTCTGATGAATATATATCTCATCAAGAGTTGGCATTTCAGTACCTCTTGATTCTGATTCTTAGACTCCATCTCTTCCACATGGTTTGTCCAATTAGTGTCTCTCTATCTAGATAGAGGTTGAAGAAGCACCTGTTGAGTTTGACCTCCATTGATATGTGGTATTAAATCTACAAGTTTTCTTTTCTGTGGTCCTCTTTTCTCCTTTGGAAACTCACTCTAGCCGAACCCTGTGGAATCAATGGTAATTTACCCCACTTTCCTCGTCTTCTTTACTGTTTGCCCTCATTCTTCTTCCATTTTTACGAGTCCTTGGAAGGGATCCTGTTACCGATAAGTTTTCTCCAATGGTTAGCTTATTAGGAGCAGCAACAGAATTGGAGTCATTGCCTGCCAATCCATGGAGGCATCGCACCATGTCACTCTTACGTACAGGTCAACCTCTTACCATAAACGCCATCCATCTCTTGCCGGTGTGGTTATCATCTGCCTGTAGTTACTACCATGGATTATGTGTTTAGCATAACTAGAGTTGGCCAACCCTCCTATAAAAGCACTTTGGATGCAGTTTGTCTGCATCCACGAGGTGGCCCTTCGGTAAGTGGAAGATTTGATTGAAGTTTCGACTAAGAAAGATATTATTGAGAAAAAATAAATTATGATAAAATTATTATGATCCTTTCAATATTTTGATACTATATTATCATAATTTTATTATTTTTAATAATATCTTTCCTAATACTCGAGACTCGATGGTCTTGTCACTCGATAAAAGTCAACTTTTTTATCAACCATTTGATTTGAGAAAATTAATCTATTTTTCAAGTAGTATGAAAAAGAAAAATAGTTGAGTAATAAATTTTCTGAAAATGTTTGGTGTCCCTTCTCCTTTTTCGGGTTAGAAAACATTGCATTTTCTATAAAAATATTATGTCGAGATAAAAAAAAAAAGTCTCTAATGATTGATTATTAAGTTAGTATATATCCATAAGCATCTAATACTTGTGAAATATTTATTCAAGCTTGTTTTGAAAAATATTATTTTATATAATATCTTTTTTTTTAATCATCAGCTAATATATGAACTTTATCATTTTACATAACGTCGTTATATTTGAAATTGACATGATATACCCAATAAAAACTGATTGGAACCTAAAGAAAGAGCAAAAAAAAAAAAAAAAAAGGGGGGGGACCGAGTCGCCTCCATAAAAATAAAAATAAAAATAAAAATAAAAATATGCTGTGTGGCATTTACAAGTTTGTATGGGATCAATCACATCATTCTCCAAAATCTGTGGTCTGATTCGGTCAACGTGAATAGCAGTGCCCTATTGATGATATATACCGTAAATCTTATTATAGTGTGATGCACAGCCATATAGTGTTGTTGTTTTCAAAGAAGCTGTGATGCACAGCCACTCACGGATGATGTGAAAGCATGCAACATCTATCTATCTATCTGTCTGTATGGGGACATGTCCGATAGTTCCAGTTCAATCTTTGCAGCTTAAAACAGAGAATGCGTGAAGAGCCGTGTATCGTTCGTTGTTACTCGAGGCAGGCAGGACCACCTGCGGCCAAAATGGTTTTGGTTTGGACCTCTTCCTCCTTTGGTCCTGAATTATTGGAGAAGCTTTCATGTT